AGAAAAGGAAAAAAAAACATGAAAAACAAAAAGTAAGTGAAAATAGTATGCTTTGATCTGCATTCAGAGTCTATCAGTTCGATCTGCATTCAGAGTCTATCAGTTCTTTATCTGGATGTATGTAGCATTTTTCATCATGAAATGGACGTATACTTTTAATTAAGCTTTGAAAAAGGAATAGTCTTCGTCAAACTCTTCTGGTTTGTTTTGTTTTTTGGTCCAGAAAATAGGGGTACCACTGAACTGGAGAAATGGCTGACCCCAGGGTAAATTAGGAAGTCTGTAAAATTTTTCTTCCATTTATGAAATAATTGTTTCATTCAACAAACATGTATTAATGGGCAAAGTCATGTCCCTGGTGCTTGAGGAGTGTAATGATGGTGCTCAAGGAAGACTAGGCTAAATAGAGAAACATAAGGGAATAAGATTCAAATATGAAAATACATAGATATGAGGCTTCATAGTTTGTGTGGCACCTTCAGGCAACACGAAAAGGGGTTTATTGTTTTCTTAATTCAGGGGTGGGAAACCTATGGCCTCGAAGCTACATGTAGCCCTCTAGGTCCTCAAGTGTGGCCCTTCAACTGAATCCAAACTTCACAGAACAAATCCCCTTAATAAAAGGATTTGTTCTGTAAAACTTGGACTCATTCAAAAGGCTGCACCCACGCACCTGGAAAATCTTAGTAATAGACAATTAATTACCTTAGCCCCTCAGAAAAACAGTGGTAGGGACATTTCCTTTATTAGGAAGGCCTGGGCTCTAATCCCATCTCTGACACCAAATACTGGAACCTTGATTTGACCTCCCTGGATCTCAGTTTCCTCCTCTGTAAACTGCAAATCATAGATCCATCTGTGGAAATAGGTTAAGTTCTTCAAGGCCCAGCTGAAATGCTACCTTCTCAAGGAAGCCTTCCCTGAGGAGAGGCAGCCTCCCTAGGACTGCTAGCTCTTGGTACCTCTCTTAAGTATGTAAACCTAATTTCTATCAGATCGATTTGTCTAATGTTTGCCAGCTTCTAGAGCAGAAGGACCATGTCTTATTCAGGTCTGCTTCCTTCTAACCACTGAACACAGGACCCTACAACTAGCAAGAGCTGAGCAAAGATTTGTTGAATGAATATTAGTCATGTTGGACTTGAAAAAAGGAATGCTGAAAAATTTGTGGACTCCAAAAAGTTTTCAGTTGGTTAAATGGCTGTTTATGTAGGACACAGAGGGAGTTCTGAGTGGTTGTGTCCCCATTTCTGAATAGTTGGTGAATTTACATAACAATGGGATTATGTTGCCTTTTGTTTGCTATTGCCAGTGGTTATTGGGGCAAGGAGCCGGAGTACTGTGCCCAGCCCAGGGTTAGAACACTAGGGCCTGAGTAGTCAGTAGGGACTGAGTGAGGGTCAGTGACCTGGACCAGTTTGGGATGGTGGGGTGGAGGGATTATCCCACACCTACTGCATTTGCTTGTGATTTCCTGGAAGACGTTGTATAAGGACATACACCCTCTCACTTCCCCTCAGGGGTAATTCAATCCATCCAGTTTCCTTTTTTTTTTTTTAAAGGCAATTGGGGTTAAGTGACTTGCCCAGGGTCACACAGCTAATAAATGTCAAATGTTTGGTCTGAGGCCCGACATCCAGTATCTTAATAAGAATCCCATCGACAACATAATAGACAAGTACAAGTTATCTTGCCTTTGCTTGAAGACTCCTAGTGAGGTAGGGGTGGGGGTAGAGGTGGAAGGAAGGTCTTCCCGGGCAGCCCATTCCACTTTTGGACTCTTCTAATGGTTGGGAGGTTTTTCTTTACATCAGGCCTAAATTTCAAATCTTGACAGATGGGTTTGAAAGGCACAACTTATGTTTACCTGCCAAGGGCAGTGCATTTTGAGGCTGTTTCAATAATCTCAATGAGGATGATTTTTTTTTGGACCAAGGAATCCAAGTGCTCATTGAAATGATCAGAATATTCTATTATTATCATTGAGTTCTCAGCCTATGGAAACAATCAGGTACCTCTGAAGTTGTCTGAATTTAATTTCTCAACAAGTAAGGCAGTGTGTTTTTGTAGAAAATGTGGGAGACTTAGAGTCCAAAAGTCTGGGTTCGAGTCCTGGCCTCTCTAGTCGTGTTGGAACTTGGTGTCCTTATCTATAAAGAGAAGGGGATTAGACTAGCACAGGGGTTCTTGACCTTTTTTTGTGTTTGGACCCATTTGGTAGTCTTGTGAAGCCTACGGACCCCTTTTTAGAATAATGTTTTTAAATGCATACAATGAAATGCATAGGATTACAAAGGAAATCGATGGTTTGCGAAAATAAAGATGTCATTTTTTCCCCCATCCAAGTTCACAGATTTTCTATAATCTATCCACAGACCCCTTGGTGCATGAACCCCAGGTTAAGAACCTCTGGACTAGTCTGAGGTTAAGATCTCTTGCAGCTTAACCATCATGTAATTCTGACTTAGAGGTGATAGAAGGTGGAGAGTAGAACTCTGACTTAATTCTGTAATTCTGACTTAGAAGATAGACGGCTATCTTCTTTCTATCTATCCATGTCTTCTTTGTTATTTTACTAGTTGTCTCAGCTAAAATAAATAATTAATTAGTAGCTAATTTTCTGCTGATAAGCCTCTCTACACTTTGTGGGGCTGGGCAGGTCATTAGCAGACAAGTACCCAAGAGATCACAGGATGATAAATTAGAGGTAGAAGATGCCTCAGGGGCCATATAGTCTGACCTCCTCGGTTTGTAGATGAGGAAACTGAGGCACAGTGCACACAAGTAGTTAGTATCAGAGGTGGGATGTGAGTGAGCCCAGACCTTCTAATGCTCGCCCACTGCCTCTGCCTCCACTTCATTATATTGTTTCTGCATAGGTAGTAAGTTGTCTGAGGAAGGATTTGAATTCAAGCCTTTTGACTTGAAAACCTTTACTCTTTCCACCCTACCATGCTGACTCCATCTAGGGCTGTTCCTGTCAAAGTCTCTAAGACCTAAGGGCCACCTTCCATATAACCATAAAAAATCGGAAGAGGACTTTTTTAGGGAGGAAAACTAAAAAAAATGCTTTCTTCATAATTTTTCTTTCTGTGCAAATAAAAATGTTTCTAAAAACAATAACTGATCTAGTATTTTAGAGAGATCATGTATCTTTCAGAGAGATCTGACATATCCTTCCAAATCGATGTCACTCTATAATGAGTCACAAGATTCTTAAGTGGGAACTGAGGATGTTTATTCTGGAGACTAGAAGAATAGAGTGGGAGGAATATGGTCACTGTTTTCAAATATTTGAAAGACTGTCTTATGGAAGAAGAGGATCTTTTCCTGTGTGGTTCTAGAATAGTAATAATAGCTAGCATAGCGCTTTAAAGTTTATGAAGTGCTTTTTATATATTGTCTCATTGAAGTCCCACAAGAATCTCTCCAGGTAGATGTTATTATTATCTTATTTTACAGATGAGGATAAGGAAGCAAATCCTCAGGTCAAATGAGTAAATAGCTTAGAATTTGAACTCTGCTCTTCCTAACTTCACATCAAACCCTCTTAACCACAACACCATCCAGTTGCCCTACAGAACTAGGGACCTTTAGGGACTTATAAAAGGACAAATCTCAGCTCAATGCAAGGAAGAACTTCCTAATTTCCCAACAGAGTTTGTCGAGCTGCCTCTTGACCATCTGTCCCAAATACTGTAGGGAAGAGTCACACTGGGTGGGGGTTTGACCTCAGCTAATCTCTAAGACCTCTTCCAGCTCTAGTATTTTATGATCCTGATGAATCTAAGTACACAGGCAGGCCTTCTGGTTGCTGGGATAATTAATGACCGACTTGACTCTGTTGCTGGTCACTCTCCATGCTTGTTTCATTTTCTTTGCTTCTACAATATTAAGAATCTGGGTAGAATTTTGGCTCTACTGGACAAAAGTAGGCATTGAGTTAAACTACGAATTTACCCATTCATGCCACCTTCGATTTAAGAGCTATTTTAAAAAAAGTAAACATAAAATAATGATAACCATAATAAAAACCCAATAAAACCATTTTATGTATTGGTCTCATGTGAAATATGACATTTAGCTAGTTTCTACCAAGAATGAGCATATTAGAAAATTACGTTAATGTTGAAACTTCACAGATATCACTATCTCCTGTATACAGCTTCTGTACCTATCTCTGTCTCTCCCTCTTTATATATATATATATATATATATATATATATATATATATATATATATATGTATATATGTATATATATATGTATTTGTGTGTATGTATGTATGTATGTATGTATGTATGTATGTTGTCTCTCCCATTACATTGTGAACTCTTTGAAGGCAGGGACTTTTACTTTTCTTTGTATCTCAGTGTCTGGTACATAGTAGGCACTTAATAAATGTTCATTGATTGACTGGGCACAAGTAATGAACTAAGGTTACTATTTTGATTCCTGGATCTAGACTGAATCCTTGGATTCCTTAATCCCAAGATTGGGAAAGAATGCCAAGACTGTCTATTTCAATATTCTATCTAAAGCAGGAATCTTTGGCATCTGTGACAGAAGGTCATCTAGCTTCTTCTTGAACATTTCTGGATGGGGGCTCACTACCTACAGAGTCAGCCTGTTCCATTTTTTGATGTCTCTGATTGTTAAAAAGCTCTTCCTTGAGCTGTAACTTTCCCCCATTGGTCTGAGGTCTGACCTCTGTAACCTTGCAGAGCAAGGTTCATCCCTTTCTTACAGGACAACCCTTCAGTTACTTGAAAACAGTTGATTTCCCTGCAGTCCAGTTGATAAAATTATAGAAGGTGGGGGGCAGATAATAAAAATAATGAGCTGTTAAGGTCTTTAGAAAAGTGTAAAGAAGAATCTATTTATAAATTGTGAAGTTCTTCACTCAAGCCTGGTGGAATTAGAGGGCAGCTGGCCATCAGAAGGCCAAAGAGTTAGCCATATTCCTTATGACCATTTGAAAAAGTAAGGCAAACTCTAGGGTGTAGTTAGTAGGGGATGGCTCTGTGTAGTATGACTTCTGGCAGCAGAGAAGAGAGCTGGTTGTGGTGGAAGACTCAAACTCCTAAGAGGGAATCTTTCTTCAGCTTAAAGGAGATGGTATTTTTCTTTTTTCTATTCTTACCATAGCTCATGGAGTCTTGCAGAAGTGCTACTTGCCCAGTAGGAGAGACCACATCTAGCAGAGACTGGGTCCAGTGAGTCACAGTGTAAGATAGAAGTAGCTCTGGGATTAGAGAGGGAGTTGTCCTTGGCCATTATTAGGAGTTAGGCTATGGAGAGAAAAAGGAGAAGCATGACACCATGAGAAGGGAAAAGAGAAAGGACATTGGGACTGGGTGGTGCTAGAGGTCACAACTGATGTTGATGGAAACTGGTGAGTAATGAACTAAGGTTACTATTTTGTGCCTAAGTATAAATGATATTGAACAACTTTTTTTTGACATGCTCATAATAAATACAGGATGTCTCAAAAGTCTCAGTGTAGTTTAAAATTATTTAAGCTTTTTTATTTTTAAATTTAATTTTAAAAATTTTATTTAAAACTTTTGGGACACCCTGCATATAATTAGGTTAGGAACTTCTTTCTACTAAGTTGTTGGTGGCCTGGGCAAGAAGTGGCTACATTTTACTGGGCCTAGAACTATAGCTCTCCATTAAAAGTCCTCAGGTTTTTACTGATTCAGCTAAAATGCATATGCATTGCTTCCTTAACTGGACTCACCTGATGCAGATGACATGTCCATAAGGGTTGATTGATGAGACAAAATGCTGTCTTTTTCTCACTATATAGCTGGAGAAAGAAAAAAATGAGTGAGAGTTGGGGAGAGACAGAACGAAGAAACCTCAGTGGCTCTTCTTCAAAGAGCCTTTGGCAATGGACAACTCTGCTGATAAGATTATTTAGGAAAAAAAACAAGATTATTTGGAGTCTTTCTGAAGGCTTCCAGAAGAATTGTCCTCTTTAGGTTTCAATTAAGTTCAATTCAAGAATATGTTAAGTGTCTACTATATGTCAGACACTGTGCTAAGTGCAGAGAATTCAAAGACAAAAAGAAAAAAAGAAAAGAAAAGAAAAGAAGTAGGCCCTGCCCTGAGGAAGCTTTTGGTCTTTTGGAGTCTTCCTGACTAAGCTGCAATCTGCTACTGAGCTGCTACTGGATCCCAGGGGTAGAAGGCTGGAGCAAAGGTGGCGGGGATTGTGGCCACCGTGCATGTTGGTGGCCTGGCTTATACCAAGAGTGAGAGCAACCAGTAGAGTCTTGTGACTTTCCCTGGATCAGCCAAATTCAGGAACTGCTGGAGAGAATAGAAGAAAGTTTGTTCTCATGAGGGTTTCACTTGCACTTCTGGACCAAATAGTTTTGGAAAACCAAATGTCTTAGAGAGGCGTTCCAACTCACAAATTATTACTTTTTTTCCCAAGTAAAAAAAAAATGAAGACATGGAAGCAGAACATTTAAAGAAAGGGGAAGAAATAGGGTTAAGCTGAGAATCGTGGATCAAGAGCTGCAAGAGAACTTAGAAGTCATCTAGTCCAACCCCTTCATTTTACAAATGAGGAAACTGAGACAACGGTTCCATGGTCACAAAGGAAGGTAATAGGAGTGCTAGGATTTCTCTGATTCCAAATCTACTTGTCTTTTTGCTCAGAAGACCTGGGTTCAAGTTGGAACTTATACATCTTACAAGCTGTGTGTCTTTAGAAAAGTCGTTTCCCTTCTCTGAATCTTCATCGACTGCTCTATAAAATGAGGTGGAGAGCAGCTAGGTGGCACAGCGGAAAGAGTGCCAGACCTGGAGTCAGGAAGACTAAACTTCCCGAGTTCAAGTCTGGTCTCAGACACTTACTCGTTGTGTGACCCCAGGCAAGTCACTTAACCGTGTTTGCCTCAGTTTCTTCATTTGTAAAATGAGCTGGAGAAGGAAATGGCAAAGCACTCCAGTATCTTTGCCAAGAAAACCCCAGATAGGGTCATGTTTCATGTCCAACATGACTGAAAAGTGATGCAACAAAAACCCCACAAAGATGAGGTGGTCTTATTAGAGAATCTCCAAGGTCCTCTCCAGCTCTAAAAATGTGTCTATGTGAAGTTGTCTGACAAATTGAGTTGGGAGGTGGAATCCATATGGTGTCAGGCTGCTGGGTCTTCCTTGTTCATGTGGCTTTATCCACTGCCCATGGGGCTAGTCCTTCTCTCTGGAGGCATTCCCTCATTTCTTTAACCTCTCAGAACTCCAAGGTCCCTTCTAGGCCCCAATCTAGTGCTACCTCCTGCCAGAAGATTTTTCTGATGCCCTCAGTGTTCCCCCTTCTCCTACCACTATGCATTTATTTTATTCTGCTGCTCCCTATCTTTCTTTGTATTTATTTATCTTTTTAAAATTTAATTTAAATTAAAAAAATTTAAATTTTAAATAAAATGTGAACATCTTATACTTCCTACTCTCCCCAACCATTTAGAAAGTAAGCTCACTGAGGGTACTTTGTATCCCTCTCACCTAATATAGTATCTGACACACAGTAGGTACTTAATAAATGCTTACTGTATTGGAACAGCATGATATCACAGAAAGAGCACCGTAATTGGAGTCAGAGGACTTGGGTTAGAATGCTAGTTCTGATCCTTATTACCTGTGTGACCTTATGGAAGTCTTTCCCCTTCTCTGCATCTTGGTTTCCTTCTCTATAAAATGAGAGTGTTGACTTGTGATCTGGGAGTTTCCTGTTAGTTTTAAAATTCCATAATTATTCATAGATATCAGTGAACATTCCCACTCACCATGAAGACAACACAAAAGGAGACCCCGAACCAAATATTCCTTCCTTCCTTCCTCCCTCCCTCCCTCCCTCCCTCCTTCCCTCCCTCCCTCCCTCCTTCCTTCCTTCCTTCCTTCCTTCCTTCCTTCCTTCCTTCCTTCCTTCCTTCCTTCCTTCCTTCCTTCCTTCCTTCCTTCCTTCCTTCCTTCCTTCCTCCCTTCCTCCCTTCCTCCCTTCCTCCCTCCCTCCTCCCTCCCTCCTTCCTTCCTTCCTTCCTTCCTTCCTTCCTTCCTTCCTTCCTTCCTTCCTTCCTTCCTTCCTTCCTTCCTTCCTTCCTTCCTTCCTTCCTTCTTCCCTTTTTTTCCTCCTTGCATTCCTTCTTGCCTTTTTTTTTAACCTTTGCTCAATCATTATCTTATTTCTATCCATTGAGTGAAGAAAATCCCCCCCCCAAAAAAAAAAACTGGGCCCAGCTACTGTGGATTCCATTGTCAGCTTTATGCAGATGATTCTCTATGTCCATCTCTCCTTTGTCTTTCTGTCTCTCTGTTTTTCTCTCTCTTTGTCTCTCTCTCTCCTCACATTATTAGCTGCCTGCTAAATGTCTTTCCTAGGTGGCCCTTTTTCATTAGCCAGCACCCTATTTCAAGTGCTATGGTTCACTTCATGGCTAAAAGTGGCTACCGATAAATGAACTTCCACCTGTAGAAATGAGGCTAAGTGGCAGATCAAGACAATATTATTATTGTTGTCAGTATTTTGATTATCTCACTCCTCTCATTGCTTTTGATGGTTCTGAGATGGTCCTATCATTCTTTTATGTTTAATGTTTATTTGACTTTTCAATAGGTAGAAATATTCTTCTGACAATTGCACTGGTAGAAATACTATTCTCTTCTATTTAATGTGTTACTGATTTTTGCACAAGTTGCTCAGAAACGTCATTACTTTAAATTTAATTTTCTGCTGACTTTTGCATAGGCTGAAATGTTTGACTAACTACGGCATGGGTAGAAATATCATCCCTTTAACTTAACGTTTTACTGATTTTTCACAAGGAGGAATGATGCCATGAAGGGAGGAAGGAAGGAAGGAAGGAAGTAAAGCAGGAAAAGGAGGAAGGGAGTAAGGAAGGGAAGGAAGGAAGGGAAGGGAAGAAGGAAAGAAAGAAGAAAGGAAGGAAGGAAAGATGAGAAAAAACATTTATTAAGCATGTATTATACTCTAGATACTGTGCTATGCAATTTACAAATATCTTATTTACTCCTTACATCAACCCTGGGAGGTAGGTGGTATTATTATTCCCATTTTACAGATGAGGAAAATTAACCTGACAACTGAACAAGCCATTATCCTATTCTTTTGTCCAAATAAATTAGTAATTGACATGGCTCAGGTAGATAAAATAACTGCCTTTTGTAGTTGGGTAAAAGTGTTAGATGTAAACTTTGTAAACTTTGTAGGCTTACTGTAAGCATCCTTGGCACAACTCTAGTAGCAGACAAGACAGTGGGATGGTATCTACCTCTCTCTGTTCCCACATAATTTTGATCTCTTCTGCAGGGCCTCTATAGTTTGAAAACTTTTCATTGTATGTAGTCAGGAGGTTGCAAATATTTAGCATGCTGACACCTAAGGTTACATTGGTAAGATATATTATTAACAAACAATACGTTATTGTTAATATATTATTATTATCAATGTAAATGATAATAATTATCTACTGGAGCTGCAAGTGCACCCCCTAATTTGAGACTCCTTTCTTAAGTAGAAGAAACTATTGTTGCAGCAGCTAGGTGGATAGGGTACTGGGTTTGTGGTCAGGAAGACCCAAGTTCAAATTCAGCTGAAGACACCTACTTTGCTGTGTGATCTTCATCAAGTCATTTTAGCTGTCTTCCTCAGTTTCCTTGTCTGTAGAATGGGATAATAACAGCATCTACCTCCTAGGGTTGTTGTAAGGATCAGCTGAGATAATAACTGTAAGGTACTTAGAACAGCGGCTGGCATGTAGTAAGCACTACATAAATGTTAGCTATTATTATTATCGTCATTATCATATCGAATGTGATGTATTATGATTATTTTTTGCTTGCAAGCTAAGAGTTAATCATTTTCTTTGAAGCCTAGAGGCTTGTGGTCTCATGAAATTTCTTATCAAAATGCAAAAAGGTTTTCTTTTTCTTTTCTTCCAACTTCTGTAAAAGCCTTTGACCAAATGCTCTAAGATAATAGTAGCTTCTGTCCGGGTTGTTCTCAGGATACTTATCATCGTTCAAGCTAAGCAGATGGCCCCTCTGGAGATAACTGCCATCTTCCAATGCCACTTATCATGGTGACTTTCTCTAGGCCAGTGACAGAAACAAGTCAGTCATAGGTTTCCCCATGGGCAACATAGATCTACATCTGATGCTGATAAGGGCCAAAGACCAGTGATGAATGTGGAAAAGACTGTCCCTAAGTGGCTCGGTGGATAGAGCACTGGGTCTGGAGTCAGGAAGACTCAAATTAAAATCCAGCTTCAGATACTTACTATCTATGTGACCCTGGGCAGATCACTTAACTTCAGTCTGCCTCAGTTCCTTTGTCTTTAAAATGGGGTTAATAATGGCACCAGTCTCCCAGAATTGTGATGATCAAATGAATAATATTTGTAATGTGTTGTTTCTCAGACCACAAAGCTCTATATAAATGCTAACTAGCTATTGAGCCAATTAGCACTCAGAAAAGACTGTCTGTAAGCTTAGTTATGTGCCAAGTGACCAATTAGTGCTTTTAAACTTCAAGAACACTTAAATAGTGGTGGCTTCACTGATAAGGACTCATGTCAGAAGCAGAAATTTTCTACTTTATGAGCAGGAACAGTCAAGTTTCAAATTACATTGCTTCAGCATTGCTGTTGAAGACCAATCCTTTGATCCTCACAGGAATAATGGTACTTGTATTGGAATAGAGAAAGCTAGCTGAGGACTAGGGAGAAAAACCCAAAACAACAAATTATTGGCTTGGAGTAGTGAACTCTTCATCTGGAA